ATTGATCGTGGTTAGCAACTCTCGACTCTTGATAACTCGGTGCTATTTAGAGTAGGGACTATGTGGGTATAGTCCGAGGTAGTAGCCGCAAATCTTGCTTTCACCGCGTGGTATTATCCGATCAGTCACTCACCCCTGTTCCGCATGCAGAGTCGCCGGGGTTGAGACTGCGGATATCCAAGAAAGGTGTGGTCGTGCGGAACGGGCAGCCCTCTTCACTCCCAAGATAGCAAGCAGCGCGAGAGACGGGACCCGCGCGGCCGTCGAACCCCAAAACCCGGTTATACCAGGTTCATCCTTACTATCATCTGCAGCAAGGAAAAGATGCACGATTAGGCTTAACTGCAACGTTGGGAGGAAGCCAAGACACGGCACGGAGCACACAGCATTGACGATTGACACGGATGTACTGGTCATCGTACTGGCTAGCCTAACCTCCATGCAGCGTTGAGACAAATAAAATGTTGTCACCATTCTGAATCTCATAGGCCTCCTCTCCCTCTAACTCCCAGTCGGCGTCGTTGATCAGAACCAGGATACCTGGTCGCCTGTGATGGCCGGTCAGTCGGTTCTGGTTCTCTCACATGTCTTGTTCTCGGTCGGTGAGCTGGCGAAGGAATTCGACCACGACCAGCGATTCGACGCCAGACCAACCCCTGTGGCCGAACCGTACGGCGGTCTCTCCAGAACCGTGTCTCTGAGGCGAGGTGGGGGGGAGGGGGGCGGTGAAGAGGCATCGGGAATCACTCACACATGATCGTCGAGGACGAAAAGCTCCTTACGAGTATCCCTCATCGTGTTCTCACACAGGTATTCTACGAGACAAGCGATGGTCATGGGCTTGTTGTTCTTGTCGATCGCCGGCATAGAGATCGCATGTCGGCGCTGGTCTGAGAATAGCATCTCCAACCCGCCACTTAACACATTCAGTCAGCGACAAGGACGAGGCGGGTGAGGCGTGTGAGGAGTGGCAGGATCATACGTGAACTCAACCACTATCGACAGTTCGGGCGTCTCGGCAATCTTGGAAGTATTTTCCATTGCCGTGGTTTCCGTTGTTGCCGCCATCACTACCGGCATGAGATTTTAGCTGGCCCGAAATCAAGTATAAAAGCGCAAGCCACCAGTTTCTGTCGTTCGCCGGGCTCAAGATCGAGAGTTGCCAGTGGCGTGGACCATGCTATGTGCTCTCCGTCAATTCAATTGATTGGAGGTGCCGTCTTTGGGTGGCTTAGGTACATACATGCCTTAACCACCTCTTAGGTACATGTAGGTACTGAGACAGTAGCATCGGAATTATGCGATTATCACACATACCATCTTACCTATTATAAGCGGTTTCAACCGGGGACCTCGGGACTCTTTCATCGCCGTCCTGATCCACGTCTTGTCTTGTTACCGAGACCTAGGTACTTAGACTAATGTCTGTACTCAGACACATAATGTAATCATTGACTCTCTCGTTGTGTCACTCATCTCTATGACACGCCACGATGCGGGCCTCTCTCCCGCCTTCGTCGAGACCATTGCTGGCTTGACTGCCGGCTCTGTCGCTACTCTTGTAGTTCATCCCTTAGACATTGTGAAAACCCGCATGCAAAGTGCGTCATACTTGCTCAGACCGTCATACCCGAATTGTTGACTGACGGCCGAACAGTACACCGCAGTCATGGCCCAACTTCTCAAGCTTTGACCACTATCTCGGTGATTCGCGCTTTGACGAGCACACCACATCCCGTCGCCGCCCTCTACCGTGGTCTGACGCCGAACTTGCTCGGGAATGCCTCAAGTTGGGCTTCCTTTTTCTTCTTCAAGGCCCGCGCCGAGAACGCCATCTTGGCCATCAAGGGTCGATCGCCCGGGGACAATGTTGCCGCGCTTAATCCCCAGGATTACTTCATCGCGTCCGGCGTAGCGGGCATGTTCACCCAGGTCCTCACTAATCCCATCTGGGTTCTGAAGACACGCATGCTCTCTTCCGATCGTGGTGCGGTTGGCGCATATCCCAGCATGTGGGCGGGCGCCGCACAACTTCTACGAACTGAGGGCTGGAGGGGTTTCTACCGTGGTTTGGGAATCAGTCTCTTTGGTGTTTCCCATGGAGCCGTACAGTTTGCCGTCTACGATCCCCTGAAGCAGATGTACATGAAGAGACGGCAGAATAGTGCTGGAGAGACAAACCGCCCGGACGATCGTGGGAGGCAGCGGATGACCAATGAGGCCACGCTGGTCATCTCGAGCGTGTCTAAACTGGTGGCTGGCGCAGTTACATACCCGTATCAAGTTATACGAAGCCGTCTTCAGAACTATGACGCCGAGGAACGGTTTGGGCGAGGTATTCGAGGCGTCTTGAAGAGGACCTGGACCGAGGAAGGGTGGCGGGGCTTCTACCGTGGCATTGTCCCCGGTGTGGTGAGAGTTATGCCCGCAACATGGGTCACGTTTCTTGTGTATGAAAACACGAAATTCTACCTACCCAAGTGGACGAGCGATCCGAGCATAGAGTAGTAGACCAACTGTAGAAATAAATGTATTATATCTCCATTTTATTGGTTTATCGCTTTTGGCCCGTAGGTGTTTTTGTACCCCTCAGCCGCCTATTGGCTTCTAGTCGCCCTACTCCCTCATGCCTCTCACATCGCTCATGTATACCACCTTGGGCGTTTTATGATATGAAACGGGACAATAGGCGCGATATGAGCTACAGTCCTAATCTTTCGATGGAGCCTTTGGATTGATATGTCACATGAAAGACATAATAATAGTGACGAATAAGTAATAAGTTAATGAATGAATAACAATGAAGAATAATAATGTGTGACAGAAAAACAACGCCGTTATTCCATCAAGAATTAACGGTATATATATAGTCACGTCTAGTCCGCGACATAATAAATAAACAATAATGAATAACGTTCAGATTCTACCTCCATCACCTCGACAACATCAATATTGACTTGCTCCCATTGCAAAACCTAGAAAGATCAAAGCCGAAACCTTAAGTACTGGCAATTTGACCGATGTGCATAAATTGTGACTCACTACTCAGTTTCTCTCCGTAGGGCGTTGTCACGTTTCCTGTTATATTTAAGTCGTCCTCACCAGCTCGTCCTCTGGTTCTCGGAGCATCCTCTTTCAACCTCGGCTACCGCTTACATACTCCAAAGTCTTATATCATTTCAGAGCTACCTATCAGCACACACTTACAGAGAATCTTACCCCCTCTTCTATCGCCATGCCGGCAAAACAACAACAACAAGTCTTCCACTTTTTCGGACAACTCCCAACCGAGCTACGCCTTCAAATCTGGGTATACACTTGGAAGCCAAGAACCGTGACATTATATCCGGTCGAAAATGACTATTTTCTACGTCCTACGAATAAAAATCGACTTCCCGCCTCGGCTTATGTGAACTCGGAATCTCGGAGTGAGACTCTACGGTACTATAAGCGCTGTTTTGCTCAGCAGGACGACTTCCGTTGGTTTAATTTCCGCCTCGACACTCTGTGCATACCGGTACTGTGCTGCCCTCAAGAGCTTGAATTTCTCGATCCTGGCGACCTCAGAAAGGTAAGGCACTCTCGGAACTAATTCACACAAGTCGCCGTTCCAGATAGCGATAACTGACTTCGGTTGTGCTACAGGTCCAACGACTGATCGTCCCGGAGACCGTACCCGGTAATATCCACGCAGAGACGCCTTGCGAGGATACATGGCCGGATCCTGTAACCGAATCCTTCGAGTCGCCCGAAGTAGAAGAACTGTTACGAGAGAACTACCCTGCCCTACGAGAAATCACCCTTATCACGGGCATATGGTTGACATGTAAATCATATTCCCTTCAAGAGGAAAAGGAGCTTTATCTCTACGACTTTATCGAAGGGCAGAGCGCGTTTACCGATAAAGGTTGGGGCCATATGAGGACCACCTACATCGGTGGGCTTAAAGTTCGGCATACGCCTGACGGAAGCAAGTCATATCGGCAACGATACTGTTGCGGATTAGGCGAGAAAGATGTCGAGGCGTTAGAAGACGATATTATTCGACAGCTGATTAACTAGTGCGATAGGGTTCGAGCTATCAATGATATCTATCGGCCAGGCGCTTTGACCCTGCGCTTGGGAGTGAAAGCACGGCCTCAGGGGGGTACGGAGATATACTTATTCCTACACTTCCATGATTACTCTGGCGAGGAGATGGAATACAATGGCAATGGATCTGGGTACAGATATGCAGCTTGGAGGGTGCAGCGCTTTAACCTGGGGTTGGTATACGATTAGAGTTGGGTTGGTTAGCAATTATTCACATGGACTTAGGAGAATACAAATCACTAGCATCGCTTGAATATACCCCTATTTTTATAAGGAAACCTTGTGCACCCTATCCTAGTAGCCACAAATACACATTGTAATATACATTTTACATTAGGACAGGTCTTAACATCACAGTTTAAAGGGTAGAGTAGGCCATTCAATGGGTATTAATGTTACTGGCGATATACTTAAGCGTACACTACAACATCCACAACTTCTAGTGCGGGTACCTCTTATAGGGACCGAAGGCGCTTATCTTGCCAAACCACATAGCTTCATTTCATCATTTAGCTTTGAAGCTTTTACTACTTTTTGGTATACTCTTCGCTCATGGTAGGGTCCACATCAGCTAGCTGCTGCTTGGAGACACAAGCGAGGCGGCCGAAGAAAATAGTAAGACCGCAATTAAATATACAGACCATCAAAGTAGCTAGAAGCACCAAGACAAACACATCTTTATTGTTATTTATATTGCTAAATCAGTTACATATTGATTTTATAATAGTTTATATCTTGAAAGGGAGTGTAATGGTGGGCTTTAACATCGCGGTCTCACTATTTTCTTCCACTGTCTTGACAAGCCATAGCGAGTCGACGGGGAGCGGGCAGCTCACCAAAGTGGGGGCCCGCTGGGCTTGCCCTCGGTGTCCAGCGTTCATAATAGGCATTAAAATCTCGGACGACTAGCGCTTGTGATGTAGTGGTTAGCATATTGCTCTTATACTTGCTGTGCCTTTTCGGCGTAGCCTGTATGGTAGAAATGCAAAGGTCGTGAGTTCAATCCTCACCTGGCGCACCAATTTTTGGCCAAAGCCTCCTTTTCCCCCCTTATACTTACTTTCCTTATTCCTCCCCCCTCTGGAAGGATGTGGACTTGTATTCACTTTTTTTTTCTTAATTGCTTAGATTCTAATTAGTAGATGATGAGTTGGCCGGGTAGAGCAACTCTTGAGGTATTAATGCTTGAATTAGTCAACTTTTGCGATTTATATGAGGTAGATGATGAGAGCCTCGCTTAGAAAGAGACTGAATAGATCAATCACGTCGCCCGCAGAAACATTAACTGTATAACTAATATACAATAAACGAATGATCTATGTGGAACTCAGAATACAAGCAGACACTTCATAGGTGAAGTTCAGCCAGGCCGCACCAGATTCGTATAGCTGGAAAACACATTAATCAATCACCCTTGACTACCTTGGATGCGTGATTTCACTGCATAGAGTAGGCGACTACGTATTTAATAATCAATATCCAGTTACAGCTAGTTAGCGCCATTGACCCAACCTTACAGCAGTATGGAGAATGTATAGCGGTACTCATCCAGCTCTTTAAGAGAAGCACGAGCTCCGTAAGAGCAATCAATCTTATTACCTATTTAACTATACTGGACTCAGCGATCCCAGGCAGCCAGCCCGCATTCAAAATATGTACCGTACCGTCCCCCCCCTAGCAAACCCACAAGCGCTCATGTAGCTATTACAGACAAAACCCGCCAATATCGAACACACACACACACATCCCCCCTTTACAAAGCTAGGTTGTAGCTATACTCGTCCTCCATGTTCTGGCTGACCCACAGGGTGGCGGTGGAGAGGCCGACGAGGCCGTTGGCGACGATGTTCTCGACGCCCATGCCCAGCATGGGCCAGGCGACCTGCTGGACGGCGAACTTGAGGACGAAGACGACGACGCCGCCCGCCATGCCGCCCGCGAGGGCGGCGAAGCCGAGGAACAGCACGACGCGCGCCTTCCACGCGACCCCCGACCCGGAGTAGCTGAACGAGTCCGCCGACAGCCGCGACTTCTCCACCGAGTTGATGATCAGCATCCCCAGCGAGCTGAAGATGAACGGCAGCCAGTCGATGAACGTCACGTGCACGTCGGAGAAGTTGAGCGGCGACTTGGACCACACGGCCGCGTCGATGAGCACGTAGAACGCGAGCGAGAACTATATATATATTCCGCCCGATCGCGCGAGGTTAGCTGACAGCTACGTACGGCCATGGATGGATTCTTGCGGCTAGAGAAGGAAGGGAGGGAGGGGAGATGGGATTGCCGACGACGCAAAAAGGGTATTAATAACCATGAATGGCGACTCGGTTCCGGGGAAGTGAAGTGAAGTGAGAGACGCACCAGAGCACCAGCCGCGTAGACGCCGGAGTTTCGCGCCCAGGCGCTGTTGAGCCAGGCCGGCCTGCCAAACTTCCAGAGACGTTCCTCCTCCATGACGCTCGGGGCTTGCTTCGCTTCGGATCGTCGGGATGGGAGTTGTCGTAGGCGGGACCTGCAAGCCAAGTAGGACGAATGGAGGTGTCGGGGGACTGAGATAGCTAAGCGGAAGTAGGTGGTGCGGTTGTTGCTTGTACGTATCGTATCTTAGCTCTCGATGTGAGCAGTGACAGTGTGGACTCCGGAGGTCGATGCGTCGGTGGACTACCTACCTAGACTGGATGACGCTTTAGCCTTGGCAGCTCAGCCGGTAGCACTAAACCTTGGGGACCTACAGTAGTTAGGTAGGCAGATTAAGTGTACATACCTACAGAGCTACTATCACGTGACGTAGGTATTCCGTATCAATAGGTAGCTCTCCCGCAACCACCTACTTGTAATGAATTAATTTCATACCTTAGTCTAGGAGTCGGAGCTGCAACTCATGCAAAGGCACGCTATACCATCATATTCTACAAGTCATTGGGTGGTTACTGTATTATATTTTTTACGAACTCGTGTAATCCAATTACGCGCTCCGCCAGGGTACTTCCGTTGGCGTGCCATGTCGCTAACGGCTACATACGTACATAAGTAGTCGTCTCAAGAAGAAACTGTATAAATATTGCTACCTCCGACGCCTACTAATGTGAGCCCCGATGACGACCAGAGGCTAACTCGTCAAATCTATTAACCCACCCGATGACCGCAAAGCGCGAAAAAACCCATGGCAACGCCCTCCCTCTTTGTACAGGTCGCTATTGGAGCGGTTTCCCCCATACGGGTTCGCTGTTTCAATGCATCGCTCCTTAGCACGAAGCTGAAACAATTCCTTCACGTGTCAACAGGTGACCTAACCTCCTGAAGCAAACTGGACAAATAAGGTTTTGGTACAAGAATCGAGAAACCATCATGGCCTTGGGGCACCTACTAGTAACCCTGAAGTCACAATGATGTTGCTGGGGTTGCTCAAGCAGGTCGAAATGGTAAATGCTCAAGTCCCGTGGGCTTAAAGATCCCAAACGTTGTGGGAACATGCAACGCATGAGAATGCCAATGGTGCTGTTATAGTAGAGGTGTGGGCAAACTGTGAAGCGCTCTCAAGATGATGCTCATGGAAGGTTTGCTGAATCCGACGCCCCTGAACGCCGTCCTTTTGCTGAAAATGTTTTGGTCGTGGAACATAAGCTATCATTGCTTTTCGTCGTAGAACTCTCATCAGATCTCTATGGTTTTCATCCCTGCTTCAATGCCGTCTACGTGACCATTTATGAGATCCGTCTCCGTTTTCGACGCCGAGAGATCCTTGCCGTTAGTTACGGATGCAACGTCTTGCTTGATAGTCGACGTAGCGGCCTCTTGTACCTTGGGGGTTTCAACTTCGACGAGCTTGTCCTCTTTGATGCCGTTGGTAACGAGTTTCGGTTCGGAGTTTCCTGCTTCTTCCGTAACCCGCGCGAGGCCACTAGATTTCCCGAAACCAGTCCGGGCAGGGCTCACCAATGGTGATGGGTTGCTGAGTCGTTGTAATGATCTTCCACGGACATCGTTATTGGCGTCGACGGGGCTAGTGTAAGGGGAGCCACCAGGCGACGCGGCACTTCCTGGCACGCCAGACCTGCGCTTTGCCGCAGACTTTGCAGTACGCCCATGCTTCTGGTCCATTCGCCAGCGCAGAATGTCGAAGTACGAGGGTTCAACGCGAGTGGACTTAAACTCGCGTAATTTGAGTTCATTGGTATCTTCGTCGACAAACCATTTGCCACTGTTCAGGTCGTCTGCGAGGATAGCAAGGAAAGCGCCCCACGACTTAGCTACGACGTACTTGGTATCGTAGTCTCGCCCAAACATAATAATCTGTCCCCAAATTCCAGTTGGGCCGGGTGAAAGGTCTACGGCTAGGTTGTTTCCACCCCAATCTCGTACGAGAGGAATCCAAGCCGGATGTGCGTAGGCTCGCTGGATGGAGCCAGCAGGAACCGCGTCTTGCCGGGATTGGAGATCTTGCCGCCAAGAACCTTTCTGGGAGCCCGACTGGGAGCCCGGGGAGCCAGGCGCCGATCGAGAAGAGGATGCTTCACTGCTGCCACCAAACGCTTTGGAGGGAACCGCAGGTTTTGTAACTGAAGTCTCGAGGAGGTACTGCTGATTCACCCTCCGCCATTGATCCCACTCTTGCACTATTTCTTCACAGTCGAGAAGCATGGAAGAAAAAATGATTCCAGTAGGGTTGCCACCACGCTCCTGGCCGTCGTGAACTATGAGGGAGTCTCTCAGGTCCTGGGGCAATGAGCAGTCGAGCTGGTGCTCAAGCTCAGTTAAGTCATTATCCGTGCAGCCTTCGCAAAGCTGGTCGAAAAGCTCAGGATAGTTCTCTTCAGCCCATCGATCTATGCGCTTCCACGAGTAGGCCACGGGTGGTGCTGGGGGACTACCGTCGGCAAATGATTGCATTTGAATGTCGCCAGGACTGCTCACGGTTTCGAATCCATCATCTCTGGAACTCTCCCTCCGGGCATTGAATGATCTCAAGCCCGGAGAGTAAGGACCGTTTGAGCCGGGCGAGAGTGGGGATGCGGAAGGCATGCCAGCACCCATGTATGCAGTTCCATCTGCCTGATTAGATAACCGACCCATTTCATCTTGATAGGAAGACGAGATGTCAGCGCGAGATTCCGAGGCGGTAGCAACCGATGTTAACGTGCTTTGGCGGTTCAGAGGCACGTGGCGGCCTGTTCGATGGGGGGCATCATAGTTCGAGTCTGCATATGGTCTTAGCAACCTTGTTCGAGGAACTTTTTCTTTTCTGTCAACATGGGTACCTACGTCGGTCATAACTGGTCATAGTATGCCAAAACGAACGGAAAGCTGACCCCAGATTGCTGTGAAAATGAGTCGTCAATTTTTATCCAAACCGTTAGTTGCTATGAGAGACTTACGCCATATTGCCGCTATTACTCCTGGCTAACTTGATTCCTTTCTATGGAGTGCAAGCGGAGGCTACGAAACCTGAAGAAATGTTGACGGCTGGCAATCTGGATCCTAGTATAAACACAGAGGACGTTGACTAGAATTCGCGCGAACTACCGATAATGACGGTAGGGAACACTGAAAATAATAGCGAGAGGACTGCGACGTGTTCGCACCGTCGAATCTACCTGGATAGATGCACGAGGATGTATGGCGTGTTGGTAGCGGAGGATACGGGATTTGAGGATTAGAGGGCGCTGTCGAAGAGAGCAATCGTGCGGGATGTGAAGTGTTTGTCCTTCTCGGCGGTGCAGGTTGTTGAACGGGGGTTCCGAAATGCAAATGCCGAGAAGAATATGCGTAGAAAAGATGTCTGTATGGCGATGTTACAGTCTTTGTCGTGACATTGTTCACTCAGTTTGCGCGGGTCGGTCAGTGGTTGAACTCGGTCAGGAGGTCAGAGTTGAGAATCGCGGGAGATGCGAGGACGCGAGTGAAATGGCCGTTTCTTGCTGATGATTGGTGAACCAGAGAGCTCTCGTCGGAATTCGATTGCGCTGCAATGACACCCTTTTCTGGCTTTTGCCCTTGCTTCTCAGGAGGCGACTGACAGGGGTGCACTTGGAGGATGGGGACAACGATCCTAGTGTAGACTAGACTGCTGCAGTAAAAGAGAACAGAATTAGAACGAATGATAAAAGCGAATGAAGGGGCAGATAGATGGAGACAGACGATGTACAAGTAGAACCAGAGCTGCCAGGGGGTGAAATAAGAAGCCTCTCAACTATGAGATTGTTACTAGATCACGGATAATCTGGTTGACCGAGAAGAGAGGCAGGAAGAATTCTTTAAGATTATCAGTCAGTTAGTTGTCACTGGCGAGCTAGTCTAGTCTAGGGGCAGGCACATGCTTTATGTGCTGTACATTATTAGTTATAAGGAGCAGGTAGACTAGAGACAGGATCAAGCCATCCGCGTTAAGCATCTGACCAACCACAGATCGATCTCCTACAGATTAGGGACTCTTTGAGATGTGGTCGGGGCTGTTCATAGGGGCAGATTGTGAAGATTTTTAGGGAGCTCTAAGCCTAATCAACCACCCAATTTCCCCCTAACCGCCTGCTGGTTACACGGTTCTACCGTCGCCGGAATAGTGGACGCGCCGTCGCGGAGCTAATCCCAACAGGGATGACCATATAATGAGTTTAACCTACGCTGCACTGACATTCCCCCCTGCTTAGTGTCTCCCAACTTGAAACGGCCACAATAAACAAGCAAGCCAGCCCGAGATTGGGCGCCGCTGCGCATATGCCGTGCAACCAACCACGGTCCCCGGAGCACCGAGGCCACATGCCTACCTACATAAATATACTTGTACATGCCTACCCGTACCGTATCTATCGATGCTGGCTGTAGCGTACATTATTATGTATGTACTTATGTATGCTTGCTGTAAGTATGCCGGATGCTAACTAAACTACGTAGCACCAATCTCAGCGGTAGCGATCGATCCATCAAGCAACTGTGCTCGACTGTAACCATAAAACATGATACCATCCATACCTCGCCTTGCGGCGTCACGCCAATCCTAACTACATCCATCCGAACCGCTGCGCCTCGTCAAGAGTCGAAATAGTATATTCTACGCCGTAGCGACACTGAAAGATGGTGGCGTCGGTTACATAGTACGGCTGCACCGATATGCTATGTACCGTGTACGTACTGTCTCTCATTATCCCGTGGCAAGTGATATAATTAGGTACCTACTGTACTCCGTACCTAGATGTAAGTAGATTAGTACTCTAATTTACTTAAGCTTATGGCGCATCTACCTATCTGTTTCTCTTTCTCTGCGCGTGCAGTGCAGTACAGTTCAGCAGCATGCAGTCCAAACCGGCTTTCCCATCTGTTACCTATCTATATATAATGTTTAGTCGTGAAAGAGACAGGAGAGACGCGATCGACGGCAATTACGCAGAAGAGCTACGCATTTGATAGGTGGTACGGCATCTTCTCAATGCCTATCGTCATGCAACTTGGAGATCCTTGTCTCCCCCCACCCAACGTCACATATGTCACCTAACCGTTCGCCGCTCGCATCATGGCATTTTCAATACGTCAGTCCCCAACTCTCTGTCGTGGCTGTGGCTGTCCCTCCTCTTCGCCAGGTTGATACCTACCCCCTCGCCCGTCGGCTCACGTTGTCCTATCTTTCGGGAATGAGGCAGCCGTCGCTCGTGTTAGTCCACAAAGCATTGAACTGATCCGAGTAATTGAGATGTATGCAGATATGTAGTGTAAGACATAGATTTGCCTCCATATCTGTCTGTTCAAAGAATCCCGGCCAATCATTTGCCTGCATCTTTTCATACTTATTCTCTCTCTCTCTCTCTCTCTCTCTCTCTCTCTCTTTCTCTCTCGACTGGCCTCATCCGATAGATAAGAGGATATTACGATAATGCACTCCGTGTTAGCAACCGGCCATTGTTCTATAGACTATAGGCTGCTCAGCTGGCGCACGCATATCTGTAAGTACGGGTCACGTGATACCCCGCAAGATAACCAGAACCCATAAGAGTTCTCTTTCTTTGCCCGGCTCTGCAGCTATAGCGGATATCGTATATAGATTGTCCTGCTTGAAATATATTATGGTTAACTATCATGTCGGGTAGGTAGCCGAATCTAATTAACCCGTGCTACCCTCGTGCATGACCAGGTTTCCTTGATGCTACCGATCATGTATGTGAGAGAGTTGCCGAGTCATGTAAGTGAGATGTCGTTACCATCACACCAAAACTACACTTATATACATGGGGCACAGTTCGCGGGTATGCATATATCGTCAGTTCCATAGCCACTCCCTACCTAAGTTCGCATACTGCAACTATACTTCGAACCTCCCGACCCTTCAGCGCTCTAGATATATGTCAACTTTACACATATGAACATTTCATCCAATAACAGTCAGGCAAGATGGCCGAGTTGGTTATGGCGTGAGGTTAAGGTATTAATCTTAGCACAGTTTCCTCATGGTGCAATCCGCGTGGGTTCAAGTCCCACTCTTGTCACTTCAACTGCTCTTTAGTTTACAATTGTGAATTCTCTTTTTTCCCTTTTTTGTTGGGTTCGGCGCCCGTCTACCGGGGCGAAGTCGTAGATGTGCTTAGAACGTTTAGTGTTCTGATGTAGGAAACAGAGTCGTAGTCTGGGTAACACTCAATAAGTAGGGTTGCGCACGGAAAGGCTCAATGACACGATCTATATCACGCGTTATGTAATAGGTAAGAAGTCTTGTCTGCATAGTGCACGCGCACTGACACCCATCGACCCCGTGATGCTACACTAGCGAACTATCCGAGCACTTTTAATCGACACTTGAATATAAGCCACCAATCAGCTCCTTAGTCGTAAAAAAGGAACAGGGTTGAGTTGTTGGATAAGTCTAGAGTCCTATCGCACGAGCAATAAGTAGCTTGTAGATAGGCATGCAGTAGGGCTAGACTTGAGGTGTTCGTAAGGTACTCCAAATAGATGAACTGGAAGCATAATACATTAGGAAACGCGATAGAGGACTAGCTAGCTCAGGAATGTCTATCGTTATAACGTAACAATTCGGGTAGGATATTGTGCCGCCGGCCATGAACACACAGTGTAGACAGAGGTCAGTCATTCGTGTTTCTGTCTTTCAACAGTTATAAAATAGAATCGCTTAGGAGGTTGTGAGTAAATATGTTTATAACGGATGCTTCGAGCAAATAGGGATCATCACACAACTTCAGTTTTTACAGCTCTACGTCTGCCACATATACTCGCTGAGGGCCAGGACCTTCTCTCCCATCTGCCTTTTCGCAGTCGCGCTGACGCCTCTCTCGGGATCTGCGAGTTGTACACTATAACACAACTCGACGAGTGCCCTGAGCTCGTCGTAGCTGAACCTCTCCGTCTCGGGAATGGAGCCCTCGTCTGCCTCTCGCTCCTTGTCCCGCTTCGCCTTCTCCACGATCGCGTCCGCGCCTTCGGCAAATAGTCCGTAGTATTTGCTGGCCCTGGCTAGATCGACGTCCGCCTCGATGTTCTTGAGGTTCTGTTGAAGCACAAGGATGTTTAGCTTCATACGCTCGCAACCACGCAAATTCATAGGCTGTGTAGACAGCGCGTTGGAGACGAGATACGAGTTAATGAGTAGACTGAGGCCCGTCCGTACGAAGGCGATCTCTCGATCACGAAGGAAGCGGACTGCTGTCTCGTCATAGGCAATTAGCTCGGCATTTAAGGATAGAATCTGTGGATCCGGCTCTTTGATCTCGCGATCGCCAAGAACGTAGGGCGCGGTCTCCGGCGACAATGCCACACGCAGTGACTGAATGATACGACAGCGGATCTCCATATGAAGAGTAAGAAGGACAGTACCCGCTAGCTCTTCATATGAAGATACGATTCTGTCAAATGATCTTGATAGACGAGTTAGTTCATAGTCTCATAGAGAGGAGAGAGGTGAGAGCGCTCACTGGACAGTATCCTGTGTCATAGGCAGATAGACAGGACCTTGATGCTCCCCATTCGCTTTGCTGGGATCGTTTAATAGAGTCCACCGCCGATTTTGATCCTTTGGCATTGTAGGCCGTGACGAATCCGTGTCATGTCGAGTAATATGCCGTAAGCCCACAATTTTACTAGAAAGCCACTTCATACTGGTGTATAGGAGGCACAATGACGAGATCACGTCTCGATCCTGTATAACATCGCTAGGCTCAAGGGGGGTTTCATTGGTACGCATGATCAGCAACCCGACTTCCTTTTCTATGAGCTCATGGTCAAGGGTATCGGACGTCCAGAGCTTTTGGATCGTGTCTTGAATGTCGCCCTCGGTAATCGCCATTTTCGCAGAGAACCGCAGGTCTTGTGATGCAGTAGTTGTGTCTTGGGCCTTCGCAACCAAGGACTTGAACCATGTGAAGCATCTATCGTAGTAGCGCATCATCTGTGATATGATAAGAGCGCTAAGGGCCTGATCGTGAGGAATGGTGCCAAGCATGCGACAAAAAGCGGTGACGACGGTGAAGAATGCGGTTGTTCCTTTGAAGACTGGTCGTCGTGCTACTAAACGCCAGTCCGAGTCTTGTTGGAACGAATCAACTTCGCCCAGCACACTATCGCAAAGTTTGCCTAGGGTCTCGTCTAACTGCGGCTGGAAAACGTTGACCAAGAAGTTATCAAGGAAAGATGTCAGCGCGGTCGCCGCCAGATCAGAGCCGGGGGGAACAATGGCTTTCAACCTTTGAATGAAAACGAGGGTCGGCGGCAAGAGAAGGCTCATATTGAAAACGCTGGGCTCTACTAAGGATTTATAGGAGCCTGGCGTATTCCTACTGTCCAGACCGCCGCCCACTGTGCTCTTCCGTGACTCTTTCCCAGTCAAAGTCGTCTTCTTACCCAAAGCCTGGGATTTTCGAGTATTAGAGGTAAGGCCTGGTACTGCAGTTTGGATGATGTTATCTAGAGCTTCGTATTCAGCCGCCATTTCGACAGATTTTTGGTCCGCTTCTGAGAATTTGAAGAGGCTCTCCCTCTGTGTATCATTGGTCCCATTCAAAGTTGACCCATTCTTTAGGGATGAGGTAGAATGATAGATATCTGCATCCGTGGTCACGTAATTGTGAAGAAGTGAACGTATTTCGTTCTGATAAAGGTTCCATAACTCCCTGAAACTTCCGAGGAGCTGTGAGCTGTTCCCGGCGCCTTCCCGTCGGACAAGGGCTTTGACGGCCTCATGGAACACGCGGTGTCCTTCCGCGATGGCCTCAAATTTCCCATATAATGTCCATAAGAGGTCGTAGATGACGTCGGCCCGCATCTGAGTTTCCCTGTTGCTATAGATATGGAGCCCTTGATTGTTGCTGGATCCTCCACGAAGCGAGCTGGGATGTCTCTGATCGACATCATTGATCGTCTCGTTTACTACGGAGAAGAGCTCGACAGGAAGTCGCTGGCTCAGTGTTTCCACGGCACCTTCTAGCCTCCCGAGCTTGTTAAGGGACTCGGCGAGTAGGGCAATGTACCAGGACGTGTCAGCTTCCGGGTTCTTTGAAGGATCTTCAGTTACAGGGCGTTCAAGATCTAGGGTATCGAGTACGACATGGAAAGGAGTGATGGCAGCTGAATCGCCGTAATTCTGATTATATGCGCCTTGGTTCTTGGCCAGGCTCTGCCAACGTTCCTGGCAATAAGGCGACTTCAGGTAGAGATGCTCGTGCAATTCTTCCACCAAGATGTCCATCAGGGCCGTCTCCTGGTTTGCCAGATAGCTCCGGAGGTCGGACAAAGCGCCGATGTCGTCGAGCTCGGGCTTCCGCAGCTTGCGCAGGGCATTCTGCAGGACCTCGACGGCGGTCAAAAAGCGCTTCTCGGAGATTCGGGCCTCGAGCTGGTCGGGCACGGTCCGCAGATCCTCGAGCTCACCTAGAGTCTGTAGGACCTCATCGTACATCTGCGATGACTTGTATAGCTTCTTGAGTTCAGGGTCGGAGGTGCACAGACTGTTCGTGGAAGCGGCCAGAGACTCCTTGAGCGCGCGCACGCGTTTCTGTGAGGCTTGGATGCTGCCTTGAATCTTGTGGAACGTGCCGATGGAACTGTTGAAGCCCTGGTGATGTTCGTGGACGATTCCCTTGAGCGAGTCTTGTAGGTACTGGTGCGTCTTCTTGAAGTTGTCATACTCGTGGGCGCGTCCGACGGAGCTGTTGTCGAGCAATTGCAGGGCCAGGGACACGGGTATGCAGTCGTTCTGAATCATGGACGGCCACTCGGCCTTGATGTGCTCGAGCACCTGGGTGATCTGTCGCTCGGCGTTGGTTTCGTCGACGCGCGGCCGCCGCGACGAGGAGCCCGACGGGGGCAGGCGGCCGGGGTCGAAAGGCGAGCGCCGGGAGTTTGGTTGTGGTGGCGCAGGGGGGGCGTCATCGTCTTGCCGGCCGTAGGCACCGTTGCGGTACGACCCGCCAAACCTGTTGGACATGGCCACGTTGACGATGCATCCGGGGGGCTCGGGGTGTGGTGGTCGGCGGCGCACGCACTATCGCATCCGGGTGGTCGTTGTGGCGGCTGCTCAGAGGCCCGGGAGCATTGATGTTGTTATAGGCGAATTCGTATTTTGCGACGGTTGGCGGTATCTAGGATGCGAAATGCGGACTGCGGAATGCGAGATTTCGGCGGTGCCGCTTGACCTGCTGATTCACGGTTACAGGCTTCAAACTAAGTTAGGTGCTTCGGTCGTGGGATGTTCGAGATAGCCCGATATCAGCCTCAAGTCCGTGGCACGGCGTGGCATGTCGCATTGCGAAACAGGGGCAGGGATTAGCTGCCGTTCGAGCCTATGGTCACTAAAACCGGGCCGGGGAAGGTACCTATAAGTACACTAGATATAGCATACTTACAACAATACCTACCATATCAAGAGGCACCTACCGTAAACCCCTTCATATGCTGCCTTGGATACATATAGGGAATGTCGCTTACGATTCTTCTCTTCATCTAGCCTCCACCAGTCTCATTGATTGTCACTCATATGACAACTTCTGTTGTCCTGTTCCCACCACTTTTGAGATAATACCATGCCTACCAGGATCCCCAAACCAGAGGACTTCGCGCATCTTGAGCCCTCACTGAAGATCTCGCTGGTATTCCCAGAAGTACCGGAGACAACAACGTCCATACTCATCCTCTTCCACGGGCTAGGAGACTCGGAGGCGTCGTTTGCCGCCTTTGCCAAGAACTTGAATCTGCCAGGCGTTCTCGCCATTTCCGTCCGCGGCGTGTCGCCCTTGCCGCCTTCTCTGCTGGGTCTGCCCGACGACGCTGACGTCGCGGCCCCCACGAAGCACTTCCACTGGGGAGATGACCTGACACTTTCGTCGGCCACGGGTGACGTAGACCCGGACCCGGGCTTCGCCAAGGCTGAGCAACTAGTCCTGGACAAGCTGGTTCGCGGCACCCTCGTCGGCAAGTGTGGGTGGGAGACGAGCGACATCTTGCTCTTCGGCTTTGGACAGGGCGGCTCCCTAGCTCTGGG